TCCCCAGGACGCCGAGTTGGGCGTCGGTACCGAGAAAGAGGTGGTGAATAAGGTGTCGAGCGGCCAACATAGTAAACCAAACTTAGAACTCGCGATACTGGTGCAGACGACTATTGGAACAACCATGAAAAATAAATGGCGGGATTTTGGTGTTGCACATTTAACACAGAAATAAAAGACACGCCCACAGTTGGACAACCAATCAATTTATTAGTGGTCACGATGTACCACAGATCATCTACAACCCCTTTGTAAACACCACATACACGATATGCCACCATCCAATGGCGGAATGAGCGGCTTCCTTTGTGCACAATCAGCGTCAACTTTAGGAGAAAAACACGACGCACTTACGAAGCCAGACCGTCTGGTGGCGCCCTACTATTTCATCAATAACCAAATATACTGTTATCCTGTTCCCGAATTGGACATTTGTTTATTTGGAGTAATTTCCAACTCTACGCCAGGTCCTTAGTAATTAATGATTCCACGCATTTATTTGGCCGTTATTTGACAGACGTAAAATGCCATAATGTACTAAATTTGCTATCCCATGGAAATAATTGAAATCAAAATATTTGGCAATATATTAAGTTTTGCGTCACATGCACACGATTGAAATATCATATAAAATGGGCTTAATATACTAATGTTGTTTTTAGTTAATTGTAAGAACGAGTTTACATCCTGGAATGGCCACGATGTACCACGGATCCTAGAACCTTGCTCGTGACCATCTTTACAATGTCAACGTCTGTCGGTTTCCCAGGCTCAAATTGTGTGATTAGTGGAGACTTGCTCAGTCAAGGCAGCCTTCTGATTGATCGGGCGCTTGTTCAGTGTGGCTTGTTGATAGCCTTGATTGTGACATGCATTTCATGTGATAGCCACCTCAATATTAGTTGTCAGTTATTTCACGAGTATACTTTGTCTACCATTATTTGCAAAAGGTTTGCTATCATATAAGGGACCTAAGCAATGAAACCTGTTCTGGGAAGTCCAGCGAATGCGCGTGTCACACAGAAAACCATATCAATCGCGCAAGATAGTGCCATGAGGGAATATGTTTTTCAATCATCTAGAGATTTTGGTCAGCCACCTTCCAAGTTGTTAGCATTCTCCATAATAAAATGTTCAATATTTTGTTTTCACCCCACTTGTGCTCTAGAAATACTGAATGTAGTGGTGCTAGCACTATATTCTGTCTTATGAAAGCTGGTATATATGACGATAGAGGTATTGAAACATTACATTTTCTGCTTCCAGTTTGTTGATGATTAGCGGTACAGTTGTATTGTTACTCACACTAGGTGTTCCCATGGTTGGTATTGAATATCTCTCAGCACCTCTGAAAAAGAAAGTATAGTTGAGCCCCTGGCTCATTTCCAGTAGAAACAGAAATTCAGGTTTGATCTTCCAGTTATTTGGTGAAATTGATGCATTAAACCATTAGTAGCAGCCACAAGTGGCTGCGTCATAGACTCAAAGAATTACCAATAAATCTAATCCACAAGATTCCTGTGACATTGACTGACTTGCTCATACTGCTAGAAACCAGTTTTTATTTGACTTGACTTTTGTCCTTTATTTATGTTTATGTTTAAGAGGGATTCAGTCATGCATGAGACAGCACAACATAATCAATGCTTTAGGCACATCAAATGAGCATCACCGTTCTCCAGTTTGGTCTACTACTAGTAAATGGCCTTTAACAATTCTATTAACAAAATTTAATATGCACACAAAAGTTTAAGACTGGATATTTAAATCACAAGGCTATTGTGACAAGATTGGCTGCACACACAGACAACTTGGTGTGCAAACATTACGAAATTTAGTTCTCCTAGATTAAACTAAAATACCTTTTTTGGAGGAGTATTCCTCATGTTGAAACAGACTTCTAAATGGTTTCAAATGTGATTACATGTACTAGATAAACTAAAAATGTTGATGTTATTGGGGTAATCCCAGGAAGCCTGGTTCGGGCTGCCGGGGGGTGGTCACAAACATCCTGATAATTCTGGTATCCGATGCAAATATAAGTAGGTATAGTATTTTCCACTGGAGTCATAATCAAATACTGCAATTCTACAATCTATACAATTCTATCAATTGGTTGTAGGGTATGCCTTGTAGTGAAATAGCAATTGTTGAATTTTATTTTATCAATAAAATACTACCTTATTACAACTAAGAACCAAGATGTGTAAATCATTCTGGAGTATATTTAATCATTATCAAATATAATAATAAAGAACATTTATATTGTGTATATTGAGCTCTCAGCGCATAAATATCTCAATGGAAAGTAGGCATATTTATCTTGTAGCCTATGTTCACATATCTGAAAAGGAATAAGAAGACAGTGTTCAGGAAAACCATTGATCTCCTTGTTTTAACTTAATAACCAATCTCCATGGAGAGAGATGGAAGCTCATCTTCTGTACTTGTATGAATTCAATTATCGTCCTGTATCTCAATGGAAAGCGATGGAAGATTATCCAGTAGTCTTTTATTTGTTTTTTTATTCATCAACTTCATTCTTAAGTCTGGTTCAAATTCAGAATCGTCTGTTTTCCTTCTTTTTGAATGTTGTATTGGTGAATCCACAACAATTTTGAAATTTTGTTTTGTACTATCTTCCAATATCGGATGTCCAATCCTGTTTTTCATTTTACTTGAAAGTCTTTGTCGTGCATCTACGACTACTTTAATCTTTCCACTTTTCTCAAACTGTTGTTTCCTGTAAAAAACAAACCAAAATGCTATGAGATTCAAATGTGCAGACACAAATCATTGGAATTCCTTCCAAAGTATATTCAAATTATTACCCATCTTAAAGTCACACTAAATACTTATCTCTCTAGTGTATAAAATATGTATTGTTTGTTTGACTGATTGATTGATTGATTATTGCTATTTGCTGTGTATTGAATTCAGTGAAGGCTACTTCTTGGAACATTAATGTACATATTTGGAACAGTATTGTGACATCTTTGGAACCATAATGTGATATCCATGGAAATGTAATCTGACACATTTGGAACTGCAATGTGACATATTTGGAACGGTGATTTGACATATTTAGAACTGTAATGTGACACAATTGGAACAATAATACATGTAATGTTAACTTACATGCATAAATGTATATGACATGTTAAAGGGGAACTAAATAGAGCCTATTTTGGTGTTTGTATTTATCAAGTTATGTATATTGATTATAAATTTGAAAAAAAAAAAAAAAAAAAATGATTATCTTCAGAGTTATGATGATTTAAATATGAGAAATCATAAACCTGCGAAGGACTTCCGTTTGCGCCATCTTGCCATAAAAAACGCCCTCATGAGGTATAAACAGGTAAGGTAACAATACATGATGACGAAATAGTATCTGATTAAATATAAGCAACTTAGGGAGCCATAGTTGGCTGGACTGGTGAATTGACTTTTAGTCTAGGTTGTTTCGACTTTTACGTTAATGTTATTTTCAAGCATATCAACATACAAACATTATGGATGTGCAATTGATCGAGACAGGCATTTTGTTTTGTTTTTTGTCTAACTATCTAATAAATGCTTTTTCCAGTACTGCATTGTGCGGCGTGCAAATTATTCAAAGTATGGATGCTGGAGTATGCAATCTTGAGTTCGTAGGGTTGTGGTGGAAACATTTTCGTCCATGTATTCACGGGGCTGCACTGGCAAATCATGGG